TCTCTGATATTTGCAACCGAAATTTCTGATATTCGCATACATAGCCGAAAATTTCTGATGTTAGCATTTCGTTTTCTAGGCATATTAGGATAACGAGAGAGGTGGTCATATTGAAATGGTTTTCACCTTTTAGCAGTAGCAGATGCAGTACCCAGGGTTCGATCCCTAGACCTCACCCTACCCATGTACAGTATCGGTGTAGACCCCGAGAATTGAACCTGTGACCGGTGTATTCGTAGACAGTTGGTAGGTCTATCGTAGGTCCATAGGCAGCAGGGGTTCGATCTGTAGGTCTATAGAGTAGAAGTCTTAGCGAGTTCCAGAAGTCTAGCTGTAGTCCTTCTAGAAAGTCGGCAAGTGGGCAAGTGGTCAAGTGGCGAGGCAAGTGGTGGACTAAACTCCAGTGCAATCGCAGTACTACCTCGGTAGGATAGCAGTGAGTCCACAGTCAGTCAGCGGTAAGGTCCAGTCAGTCCCGGTCCGGTCCAGCAAGTACCACGGGGGACTGTGAGCACGATGGGCCGATGGCAAAGGGCAGACCAACGAGTTTCCGAAGTATAATTCATTCCCGCGTGAGCCATGCGGAAGCGCTGTCATAGCGACTTGTGCAAGGAGGTCTGCAGTGAGCCCGGAGGACACAGTGGGCGAGAGAGAAGGAGCTTAGTATAGCGATAGGGTAGAGGCAGCCATAGCTGCCATAGCTGTAGTTAGTGTGAAGTGTGTTTGTGTATGTGCGAGTGTTCAGAGTTACGCGTGTGGGATATCTAGGGTGATCCAGTGTGTGTGAACATGAGTTGTTTGGGCGCTGAGTCGCCATAGCCAATTGAAAGTGAACTCGTATCTGGAAGCCATGTCTCCGAGTTTTGAGTGGGCGCATGTCGCCAGGTTGCTGCGCTGCTTTTTACATGCATGAAAAGTGTAAATGAGTATGAGTCTGATTGCAATATTCTCGGAAACCGGATTTATTCTTTTCTGAAAATCGAATCTCCGTTCTTTCTCGCAGTTTTTTTTTAAAACCGAAATCTTGCGAAGCCTACCAACATTTCGTTTTTAGGCATATTAGGAGGTTGTCATATTCTCAGAAACTGGATTTAGTTCTTTTCTGAAAATCGCATCTCTACTCTATTTCGCAATTTATTTTTTTTCAAGATCGCATTTTTGTGAAAGCCGAAACTTTGCGGAACCTAGCCTAGATCTCGCTCATAGTACTCTTCTGACATGCCTCACTCATAGCAGATCCACAGATATATATAAAAAAAAAAAAAAAAGGGCGGCGGTGATCCTCTTCTTTTATTTTTTTATTTATTTTAGTCTGTTGATTAGGACCGGGAGGAAAGTATAGCTGGGTTGGTTACCTACCTGCGTTTTCCCTCCCACCCACCCCTTTGCTTGCGTTCCCGGTTTGGTACAGTGCCACGTCAGCAGTACCCCGCCACCATGACGGGCTCAGTTCTAGGCATGCCAGGCCAACTGGCCAATGAGTCCATTGTCGAGTACCGACAGCGTTTCGAAGCTCAGCTCGCACTGATCGAGGCTGAGGAACAGCGTCAGGCGGCAACCGAGGCTGTCCGCCTACAACCTGAAGCGGAGGCAACAGCTGAAAAGCAGCGGCTTCAAGCCGAAGCAGAAGCATATACCCAGGCACGCCGCAAGGAGGCCCAGCATCTGCTACAACGGCATGAAGCCACCAACATCGAAAAAATCAAGTTCTGGCATTTTGAACCATCTGAGCAGCATGATGGCGTGACACCGGAGAAGCAGCACAAGGAGTTTCTGGCCAAACTCGTGACCCGGTTGGTTTACACTTGTAACCACCTGCAGTCCAAGCTGGCGAATCTCCGACTGGTGGTGCAGAACCACAAGGGTCTGCACGAGGATGCTACACGGGCACTTGATTCCCGTGTACAGAACTTGGAGCAAGGTGCACCAAGGCCAAATGCTGGTGAGTCCAGCGGTGCACCCTCTACCCGCCAATTGGAGGAACGAGTTGACCACGTAGTTGCAATGCTCGGCGACATCAGCACCTTCGCTGCACCAGCAACCATCAGCAGGCAGCTGAACACCTTGAAGACCGAGGTTCAGCAACTGCACCAGCAGCCCAACAAGGAGGGCAACACCAGTGTGCAGCACTACAAGATGCCGACATTCCAAATCGAAAAGTTCGATGATTATACACATCAAGAGCCGGTCCCCTGGTGGGAGGGCTTTACGACGCAACTTCGGATTCTTTTCGTCCCCGAGCACTCATACATCGGCGCGCTGTTCCCTCAACTCAAAAGGCGGATGCCAGATCTGGCTCAGCCACCTGGCAACCATTCATGGTGTCCAGGTTGCTGATCTGAAAGATAAGATCTCTTGGGAAGAGTTAACAAGGCTATGGAAGAAGCGGTTCATCGTGGACGACGCCCCGGTGCTCGCCATCGACCGCCTCTTTGCTATGACGCAAGGCAACACATCGACACGCGACTGGCTCACGAAATGGCAAAAGATCGCGGCGACGCCCGATCTCGAATTGCCATTTTCGCATCTGCGCCGGGAGTTCTACAACCGGTCATGTGCCGCCTTGAGCCTTGCACTTGGTGATCACGAGCAATACGCGACCTTCGCCGAAATCATCGACAAGGCAAGGGAGATCATCAAGACCAATAGGGTGGCTGCACACGAGAAGTCGGCATGGCAGCCAACCTATGTGGAGAAAGGAAAATTTGGTCCGCGTCCCCAGCATGTCGCTGCAGTCCACTCGGACAACATTTGTGGAAGACCTGGCAGCCACCCAAGCATCACGTGAGGGAGATCAGGTGGCTGTTGTCCAGCCGCGAAGCAACAACAACTTCCGAGAAAAAGGAAAGTCGAAAACCACATCGCCGACTGGAAACGGACAGCCAACACCTTGGGTCAAGTTTCACTTGACCGAGGCCGGATACAAGTGGTGCGGCCGGTATGGCTGCTGCTATTGGTGCAACAGCACCAAGCACAAGACCTCCCAATGCCCGGATCAAGGCAAGGAGGATATTCGGCCTCGCATCAACTCGGGAAACTGAGTTGCGCGGGAGGTGAGGCGACTCCACCTCTCACTCCGCCAGATTCGGCCGCCTTGCTAGCGGCCTCCTACACATCTGGGGAGGATGCGAATGTCGCAAGTCCTCGGTTCACTTACGAGGATTATGCTGTCCACTTGATCCCACCGTTGGACCAACCACTCCACGTGCAACAATCCACCGCATGCACGGTTTCACTACCATCGGCAACCGATTCGGCAGCTTCGCCGCCATCTATCGTCGGGGATTCGACGACATGGTCAAGACTTGAAGAGCTCGACCCGTTGACGTTTGCGGACGTCCAATGGATGCCCCTTCCCCCGTCCGGTCGATTGCCGAAACCGCATTGCAACGTGCTCATGGCACAATTGCGGGATTACTTGCACACTGCAGTACCAACTCCGTTGATGGACGTCGGAGTAGAGGTTGTCGACCTTCACGACTACATTGCGAAGATCGACCGTGAGTTCAAGACACAACGGTACGACGACATCGACGCGCCATTGTTGTACATACGCATTCAGATCGGAGAGGCGACCTGCAGCGCTTTGATCGATTGCGGAGCTACTCGCAACTACATGAGCCAAGACTTTATGGTACGCGCTGGCCTTGGGCCACGCGTTCGGAGGAAGTCGCCGCCCACACAAGTCACGTTGGTCGACGGTCACACGCACAAGTCAATCAACCGATGCAATGATGCCGTCCCCGTGTACTTTGCCCCGCATGCAAGCGAGGCCATGTCCTTCGATATTTTTGACACCAAGTTCGACATGATCTTGGGCATGTCATGGCTGCGAAGTGAGGATCACCCGGTGAACTTCTACCGCCGCACCGTTCACGTTCGTGATCAGAACGAAGTACTAGTCCCATGCACGGTGCCTCCTCCTCACCCTTCGATCAGCTGCCACGTGGTGTCTGCTGCATGCATTCGAGCTTCCATCATCCGGGATGACATCGAGGAGATGGGGTTGTGTTTTCTCCAGGCCCTCCCGCCCCAAGACATTCCATCGACGGACTCACCACCGGACCCACGCATCACCGAGCTTCTGAACGCCTATAGCAATGTGTTCGAAACACCGCACGGAGTAGTACCGGATCGGCCCATCCGCCACGAGATCATCCTCGAGGACGGGGCCGTACCTCCACGTGGTTGCATCTACCGCATGAGCGAAGAAGAGTTAAGTATGCTAAGGGCACCACTCGACGATCATCTCGAGAAAGGTTGGATTCGGCCTAGCTCTTCGCCATACGGTGCTCCCGTTCTCTTCGTCCGGAAGAAGAATAACGAGTTGCGGTTGTGCATCCATTATCGCAAGCTTAACGCGCAAACCGTCAAGAGCGCCGACCCTCTTCTGCGCATCGACGACCTCCTCAAACGACTGGGTGGCGCCAAGTTTTTCTCCAAGCTTGACCTCAAATAGGGATATCACCAACTCGAGATCCGGCAGGAGGACCGCTACAAGACCGCGTTTAAGACGTGATATGGGCATTTCGAATGGTTGGTTATGCCTTTTGGCCTTACGAATGCCCCGGCCACATTCCAAACGGCTATGACAACGGAGTTCCGACACATGCTAGATAGATTCGTACTCATCTACCTCGACGACATTTTGGTGTACAGTCGGAGTTTGGACGAGCATGTGGAGCACCTGCGCACCGTTTTGGAGCGGCTACGACAAGCCAAGTACAAAGTCAACCGCGACAATTGCGAATTCGCGCGGCAAGAGCTGGAGTACTTGGGGCATTAGGTGACGCCGCAAGGCATCCGTCCACTTGCGAACAAGATCGAGGTCATCCACGTATGGCCTGAGCCCACCAACACCACGGACGTTCGCTCAATCATGGGGCTGGCGGGCTACTATCAACACTTCATCACCGGGTACTCAAGGATTGCCGCACCTATGACGAGATTACAATCATCAAAGGTGCCATTCGTATTCGATGACGACGCACGCCAGTCATTCCAAGCACTCAAGACGGCCATGCTCATGGCACCCGTCCTTAGCATCTACAACCCCACCTTGCCAACGAGAGTGACAACCGACGCTTCCGGCTATGGCATTGGGGCAGTCTTGGAACAACAAGACGGCGACGACTGGCACCCCGTGCAGTATTTCAGCCACAAAGTGCCTCCCATCAATTCACTTGATGATGCAAAGAAGAAGGAGTTGCTCGCGTTCGTGATGGCTCTCAAGCGATGGCGGCACTTCCTCCTTGGGCGTCGTAGGTTCACATGAGTCACGGACAACAACCCATTGACCTACTACAAGACGCAGGATACGGTGAGCAGCACGATCGGGCGATGGATGTACTTCATCGACCAATTCGATTTCACACCGAAACATCTCCCCGGCCTCTCCAATCGCGCAGCAGATGCACTCTCGCGAAGACCCGATCTTTGCGCTATGACACATCATGCCTTCGCATTTGACGAGGAACTCCAGCGACACTTCATCCGGGGCTATGAGTCTGATCCGGATTTCGCCACATTGTACGCGCAACTATCTTCGGATCACCCAAGAGACCGTCGTCTTCGGTCTCGCCTCCTTGGGGAGTACCTTGACTCGTGACTCGCCGACCATTTCAGAGTCAATCGCACTATTGCACGACTTCGGCAACGATTCTGATGGCCAGACCTCATTACCGATGTCACTCGGTATTGCGACTCTTGCGAAGTTTGCCGACGAAGCAAGCCACGCAACCGCAATCCCTACGGCGAGTTGCGCCCGATGCCTATTCCACAGGAACCCGACCTCTCCATTGCCATGGACGTCATCGGTTCGTTTCCCCGTGACCGGCTCGGGCACGACGGCATCCTCACGGTCGTTGACCGTTTGAGTAAGTATGCGCGATTTCTTCCTTGCAAGTACTACGCCACGGCTCCCGAACTTGCGCGCCTCTTACACACCGGCTGGATTTGCAGCCACGGCGTGCCGGAAGACATCGTCAGCGACCGAGACACTCGCTTCATGTCGGCATTTTGGACTGCTCTCATGCAGGAATCCGGCACGAAGATGAAACCAAGTTCGGCTCGGCATCCACAAACGGACGGGCAAACAGAGCGAGCACATCAAACCGCTCAAATTATGCTTCGTACGCTCATCCGTCCGGATTAGAAGGATTGGGTTGACCGCCTCCCCGACATCGGGTTCGCCCACAACACTTTGTTGCATCCTGCAATCAGTGTGATTCCATTAGAGTTGCACCACGGTGGCCGGAAAGTTCGTATCTTCGCTGATCTTCTCCTCCCACGAACAACCGATATAGACGCTGCTTGCTCCCCCGCTTCCGTCCGGAAGTACAGGGAATTGTTGGCTCAAGCCCGCGCGAACATGCAAAAGGCTCAAGTCCCCATGCAGCAGCAAGCCAACAGGCATCGCGTGCCATGTCCCATCCGTGCAGGTGATCTGGTGTGAGTCTCCCCTGAAGAGTTTGCACTTGAACAGGATGTTTCACGCAAACTGCTTCCCAAGTGGTTTGGACCATGGCCCGTAACATCAGCCGCGGGCGATGAGCCCGATGGCCCCTCATTTGTGATCAACATTCCCCCGCATCTGACGGTCCATCGAGTCTTTCACGCCTCGAAGCTGGCAACATATACACCAGCTAAGAGGGACGACTTCCCGGGCCGACAATCACATGACCCTCCATCTATGGATGGTCATCAGGACGTTGACCGTGTAATCACGGATCGCAAGTACGGCAGCAAGCCTCGTTAGTACAAAGTTACATTCAAAGCATGCGATCCCGACGACACTCGGTGGATTTCAGGAACAGATTTGAAAGCATCCGCACCGCTGATCTACACTCACTACGAGCGACAAATGTTAGCTCAGAGAACTTCACGACCTGCCCCTCCCACCCGGACTGTAGTCCCTCCCTCAGACAGACAGCTTCGCCCACGCAGGTAAGCTCGGTCTTTCAAGGAGAGGGGGCTGTTCGCAGCCCTTAGGCTGCGGTATAGTGGGCTTTCGCGTCTGTGTCAAGGTGTCGCATTTTTGGCGGCGGGCGACCAGGACACAAAGTGGGTTCTTAGGGGGCAAAAAAATTTGGGGGACCGGTCCTTGGCAAAATTGCGGACTACCTACAGCTAGCTCTGGTAGGACCGGGACTTTTGGAAAAAGGAAGCACCGGTCCTCGGGTGGAAGTGGACCCCAAAAAGAAGTGGGGGGGGTTGGACTGGTCCCCGGGTAGAAGCAGACCCCAAAAAGAAGTGTGGGCATGTGAACTGCAAAAGGGCCCTCAGGCCCAGGCATTCAGCCTCGTCTTCTCAAAACAAGAAGGTCAGGCACAACGAAATAGGCGTTTTGCAAGAGGCAACTTTGGCGATTTTCTGTGCTCGGACGAACATGCACAAAAATCTGAAATTTTGAGAATCCATAGATGAGGTCGTGTTCTTTCCAGAAATAATAATAGAACATTTACAAAAAATCATTTACACTTCGAAATAATCGCCGTGCCGATTCGGCACATTTTCCATTTTTGCCACTCAGCCATGCCTGGGCCAACTAAAAAAGTACTCCAAATTCAGTGAGCTTTCACGCTCA